GCGAGGTGGGGTTTAATCATTGTTGCTATCTCTGGCTTTATCTCTATCGATTGTTTTGCCGCTGAGCCTCTATTTATCCCTTAACATATTCTCTCTCCATTCTTTAAATCTACCTATCTATGTACGTGCCTGTTTCTACACGTACCTTTAAACTTTAGCAACTCTCTGGATCTACGCATGCACCCGATCTGTCTACCTGTCTGTCTGTCTAGCTTATCCACGTCTCTCTCCGCTGTATCTAGCAATGTATCTACTTGCGCTTGTAGTCTGTCTATCTATCCAACCATCCGTGTATTTCCTCAGCGATCATATCTATCTTATCTAATCACGTGTTTATCTGTCAGCTTTCATCTAGCGGTCTTGCAAAAGAACACTGCGCCTACCACGACATCTGCACCTGACCTTGCGAAAGTGCTGCGCATGTCACGCAAACGGGTGTTGCGAACAGCTCCGAGGCCGTGCCGAGCGTGCTCCAGGCCTGCTCCGACCAGGCGCTGCTTTCGACCAAAGCCCCGCAACCCGAACAACCCGAAGGGGGTTGCACTTGATTGAAATTCCCTTTCCCCGGCCGCGTCTGTCAGAGATAGCTTTCAAAGAGTTGCCGCACCACGGAAGTTCCTTCTAAACTTCCTTTGATCATATATGTCTTGCTTCCGTTTGAGGCATGGGTTCTGCATTAGTCTCCATTTAGCTGCTTGTGGGTTCGTGCCTGTCTCTCTGCCATCTAATCTAACCAATGGGCAACAATATAGTTAGGAAAACGTTGGGTCATACTGGCTTAGGTTCAGGAGACTATTTCCGGCACGTGCGCGGCTAACCCTTTCAAGCGCTCGGCTCTGAGAGCTGACACTGTCCTTCCAATCGACACATGCTCGCCCTTTCCGAAACAAGCCTTGAAGCTTATAGCAAATCTATGGCAATAACTTTCCGCACGAGGGAAGTGTGCAGCCTGCCAGCTCAAGTGCTTTCTTCACCTTCTCGCACTCCTGCGAACAAGCGAGGCACAATGCATACACAGTGTCCCCCTCAGGCACGTACCCCTCAACTGAAATGATCACCATATTTCAAAGATACGGCAGCGGCGCGACTTCAACCCAAGCTGCTCCTCCGGAGACATGCCAGCCAAGGCCGCGCGCATGTCATCGACGCTTGCTTTGCGGTACTCCTCACACAACCAACCGAAAGCCGGCTTGTCAGACGCTTTGCCAACCGTGTCAACTAGGCTTGCCGGGAGTGATGAAGGTCCAGGAACCTGGAACCCTTGTTTTTCATGAAGGCATGAGTACCCAGCTTGACACGCTGCTCAATTTGTCGCGATTCGGCGCCTCCATGGACTGCGTCGAAGCAGCAGAACCTGGAAGGTTCCGTTTCCCAGTTCATTGAGCAGCTTGCAATCTCGTGGGAACATCATCGTGGCAAAGTCAGCGAACATCTAAGCCCCGGACCCATGATGACGAAGGCAATCTGTAACCAAAATGCGGGAAAAGGCTTGAGATGCAGGGCAGGCTGCGGTAAAAGGCCTGGTAAATTTTAAAAGCGTTGGAAAATATTGCAAACATGAATGAATCAAACGTCATGATTGAGATTGGGCAGTCTGCGGCACTTGGGTTCCGCATCCAATAGTATAAATACGCCGCGGCATGGTCAGCCTAGCATAAGCCCTGCCCTGGCGAACAAAAGGAAAGCAGTGCAGGGCTCCCCACGTCGGCATCGGGCTGTGCCCAAAAGCCGAGGCAAGGATCCAGAGCGATGCTTTGGTGCGCCTGGCATTGACAACTGTCGTGCAGTTGATCCATCCTGCTGGAGATGCCATGGTCGTCACTGCCTCTGCTGCCTCTTCGCACACTGCCCCGTGGCTCTTTTAGACAAAGCAAGCTGGGCCGACGTCTGCAATTCACTTGCACTCATGGTGCGTGTTCTTCCACGTAGACCGTGGGAATTCATGCTTTTGGATTTTGAAGCAATCTCGACTCAACATGCAAACCAGCAGCTGTTCGTTCTTATGCAACACCGAAATCATGATAGTTAGTTTTGATGCAGGTCATATGCAAGCTTGCGCCCGCTGCCCAGAACAACAATAGACATCTCACGGCTGACAAGGGGGGGGGCATGTCCATACCTCAAAAAACATGAAAACAGCTGTCAAGGTGCAAAGTGTAGGTATGTGCATGACTTGTATTAAGCGTTCCCAGCTTTCGGCCTCAATCAAATCTGGCCATGGTCAGTAGTCAGTTGAAAGAAAACACCAAACATGCACGCCGAGCTCAACCATGCTATCATAGCAATTTGCGCTCTTGTTGCATCTCACAGCCTGCGCCATTGGGCCATGATTCAACAATCTGCAGTCGGCCCCACCTCGAAGCTGCATACCGCGCCAGCACAAGCTGCCTGCCAACCAACCAGAATGAGAACACCGGCGTGAGACAAAGCGCTGCACTCATGACAAACAAATGCGCATACTGTGTCGAAACAGCGAGTTCACACAGTTCAAACCAGTTTATGCTTCGTGTCCAGGTTCAAAGGGAAAAACATCCGTTGTGTTGGGGGTCATACTTGACTTGGGGCTTCGTCAGGCAGCATCAGCGGCTGGGAAACGGAAAACGCACGGGCAGTGACGGTCAAAACCATATTCCTTGTTGTGAAAAACATGGAAAACCACTGCACAAAAATGAACACGGCCCCAGCAAATTGCCCAGGACTGTCAGCAGCAGCATCCACATACACAGCAAAACACAGGCAAAGCAAGCCTAAAGCCAAAGGGCATGGACCAATCATGCCTTGATGCCGGTGCCATGATTTTGTTCCGTTTGCCGGGTGCCCACGCACTACAACTGACTTGACATGAAGCGCCGACCCAGCAAGCGCACGGCAATTGCGGTGTCAAAAACCTGGCGTGCCTGGTTGGGAAGCACGTGGCTGCAGGTGATGAGGAAAAGCCCTGGAAGAAGCGCCTGGCCACACTCAAGATTCAGCTGCCGTCTGGAGGTTTCTCTCTCTGACGAATTTTGGAAATGGCAGATCAAAAAGGTCACACCCAAACAACTGGAGGACCGACGATTTCTCTAGCGCGCGGGCGTGCCCCAATGCCAGCAAGAGCTTTCCACGGCGCTTTTCCACGAACTCCAGGCTCCTCTACAAACGATCTGACCTCACGTCAGGGTGATTTCTTGCCAACACAAGAAACTCCGACGGCCTAGAAAGGCCCACTATGTTGCTGCCTACCTATATAATCCTTTCCTCTCCAGCACTCCCACAGGTCACATAAGTCACATATGTATGACTAGACGGCTACCAGTGTACCCCAAGATGGGACAAAGTTTGACTCTGATGTTAACCGGTTGGTTTGCGAAAGCTTGTGACTCAATCAGCGCACGGGCCCTTCCTAACGGCCCGTCAGGCGCGGCGGCTCACTTCTTCTGCTTCTTTCTGGGCCCGTAGCAGCGGAAGGACTCAAGCTCCTCCTGCCAAGGTTCCAGCACAAGGCAAATATCATGTCAAGTTTGATTCAATGGCCCCCTGTTGTCCCGCAAGCCCAACTAGTTGTGGCCATTGCTCCCTCAAGGTGGCAGCCAGTTTGAAGATAAATGCTGTCCTCCTCACCATCCTTGCCAGCTTCTGCCAGGATGAATCTTTCCAAGGCATCCAGGAAGCCATCCATGGTCTCAGAAAAAACCTGAGTGTGGCCCCTCCGAGGGCTCGGCAGGTTCTGACGAAGGTTTGCTGGACAGCCATGAAAATGGAGCATGATTCACACTCCCATGCGGTTCAGGTCCAACGCTTATCATAATCTGAAGATCGGGTGTGCAAATTTGTCCCTGAAATCCTCATGGCTGCTACCGCAGCAGCTTGCCACAACGCAAAGCTGATACACTCCGTGCAGCTAGCAAGCCTGCTCTTCGCAGCAGTTGTTAACCATGTGGACCACCCGCCCAAAGGACGGGGAGTCTTTCCTGACGCACAGGATCAAGCGCGCTCATACGGACATAGTGCGATTCACCCCGCCCATGCACACAAACACACTAAGCAACCAAAGAATTTAGTTTGTCTGGAAAGGTTCCGGATGTTCACGAAGAAGTAGTCATACTCGGATGAGTAGCCAAGCCTTGGAAAGCGGACCTCTGCCTCTGGCCCGTACGGATACGCCAAGGCCTTCCAAAGTCTGCTCCTTGTCTCCTCCCTCTTAGATTCTCTCCCTTTCTGCAAGCATCCTGTGGAATTTCAACCAGGGTCTGTAAGCAACAAGCTCAAAAGGTGGCAAGCAACATTACTGGCGAAGAAAAATGGGAAGACTTGCGACATGTTCGGTAGGCCATGACTGTCTTTTCCTTTTCCCTGACATGGTTGTAACCTTATACCCCGGTGTCGGCTCGTTGGCCCTTGTGGTACAATTTGGCAGCTTTAGCTCGAAAGTGGCAACTTATCGGAACATGAATCGTACGCGAAGGACAGTTTGGAAGGTCCAGCTCAGAAGTCGCGACTTTTAGCACATACACATAACACGTTGGCAACTCCAGCTTGGCAGTTGCACTTTTTAGTGCAAGGACAGCTTACAAACTACACTTCAGCAGCTCTGGATCGAAAGTCGCAACTTGTCAGCACAAATGTGTCACACAAAGTACATGTTGGATCATTTTGGCAGTTGGAGGGCAATTGGCTGGATTGGGCAGGATGGGGAATGAGTTGGCTGATAACCATCGGTTTGGGTATCTGTTCGGGCCCATCATAGGTCCTTGACAAAAAGGCACGGTTGGTTGCTTTGACATAAGTGTGCCAGCTCAACTCAACTCTGAAAAGACCGGTCATCCGCAATGCATTGAAGCTATCGGAGTCAGACTGCTTTGGGTGGCTTGACTCGGCTCGCTGGGCTTCTCATTCACTGACAGGCATGGGTCTGCGCCACGAAGTTATTGACCAGTACCGCTTTATCAAGCGCGCAGCTAAGGGATCACCCATCACCTAGCGCGCGCGCACAAACAAACCAGCGAACGCATGTTGCGAACCTACACCCTTAAATGGCACCAAGACGCATGGCCCAATCCTTGCCAGCACAGCTATCTTCCCCCTGATCCTCAAGCCAGTCTGCCCGGCATTCCTGGCAACCGCTCGGAATGCAAACTTGAGATCTCATACCAACGATGAACGAGGCACACCATTCTGATATCATGGCGCTAAGGCCAACATTTGGGCCGTCCTCGTCCCCGAAGATGCACTCAGATTGCTTGTAGTCTGCCTAGCTCAAACGAATCAGCTGCCCCCCGACCTTTCCCATAAAGGGGCCAACAAATAGCAATGACCAAGCTCTGGCCGATGCTTTCAGGAGTTGATTCATTGATAAAGCTTGGGCAGCCCGGTTAGCAACTTGTCGCTAATGTTTTAGGGTTTGCGATGCTGCAGCCAAGAAGGCATCATAAAAAATATGAGCACCAGGGGTGTGCGAAGACTTGCCGCGGCAACACTTAAAGCCTGATTGCCCCGGACATAGCTGTTCCATTCTGGTGTGGTTCCCTGTGAGGGCATGATAAGACGATTTGTTATGGCATGGAGCGCTGCCAGGCCCTGAAAACAATCAGGGTTGAAACGCGTCCACCTCATGGGCCATCAGGACCAGAACTTGCTTCGCGCGCGGCAGGGAATGAGGGAATGAACCTGGGCCTTCCCTTAAAGGAAACCAACTGGATCGTTTCTCTCCAAGTCATTCCAGGTTTCATTCCCCGCATCTCTCGCACCAACAAGCTAATTGAAAGGAGGTGCCACATCCAGGACCATTGGAGGAATCCCCAGGTCCGGGCGAAGCGTCCACTTGCCGCCCTGCTTCAGCAGCATGGCCAAAGCTTCCGGAAGCTCCAAGCCCTCCTCGAGCTTGGAGTCATAAGAGAGACGGTTCTTGTCCTTATGGAAAACGGCTTTTGGATTTGGCGAATCTGTGCATCCACCCTCTGGAAAAGGTAAAAGGGCACGAAAAGATACGAGAACAAATGATTTCCACAAAAGCCGCATCCAAACCGTTTTCCAGATTACAGCTGACCCCCCAAATGAAACGCAGGCTTGTCACAGATCTCAATGCTCTCATGCTACAAAAGTGTCTTGGGCAAACATCGCGAGAGTCATGCGAGTCATACCGAACTCAAAACTTGAAAGTTTGACGACACATAAGCCCACCAAAAGAACAGATCCATTGCAAAGGAGCAGCTGGCGCTTTCTGAACTTCGCCGTGCTTCTCAAACTGCGACTTCAAGGCCGCCAGACGTGCCTCGCCCCAGCCGTCAGAGCGCAGCACAGACAAAGTGGCACCTTCGGACAGCACGTCCTTGGCGACTTTTCCATCTGTCCAGATGTCGGTTCCCACGACCAAGCTCAGCTTCGGCGCCGGGCACTTCAGGATCTCCGACAATTTTCCCTTCACCACATCGAGACTGTCTCCGTCTTCAATGTCTATGTCGCCGCTCCAACTCAAAGAGCCCACCTTCACTTTCATGGTCTTGAGCGGGTGTGGGTGCCAATCTGTGCCGACACTAACTTGAGCCGTGCGCGATATGTTCGAGAGTCAATGATGCGTCCTTGCGGCTCGTGGGCAATCCCGCCGCTTTGGCATTTGTCTAGTCTAAGTAAGCAACACGTCATTCATGGAATTACTCCAAAAAGTCTCTCACCCCAGGGCAATCGTTGCTGGCTAACCAATAGGCTGCAAGACGTCCGTGGGCGGAACATACACTTCAATTCAAACATAGCTGCAAGGAACATCTTTGTTGTGAAGGTGGGAGTTGAAACCGTGTCGGCCATAGCATTATTGCCAACATGCTTGACACACGAATCATGATGCTGATTGACACTTCAGCTGCCTTTGTGCCAGAACCACTGGCGTGCCAGCGCCGTGCATGTGGCTTGTTTCAATGCTCTGCCAGCCTATGGACACCATGTCTGCCCCAAGGCCGGCATACTGCAAGGCAAACTCTGCCGGAGTCGCTGGAAAGACACCCAGGAAGCCGGTACCAACCTGGGCAGTGTTACTCTTTCTCTGGGCAGGCTTGAAGAGCCTCATTCACCTCACTCAGATCCTCTCTACATTGCAAGATTCTCAGGCGCCAAGCACAAATGGATACAAATGGACTGCGAAACCTTGGTCGCTGTTGACCCCTCTGCAAAAAGCTCAACTTGTTTGTGTCCAGTGGAAAGGCCCGAGCTGCTTCAACCAAAAAGTTAAAGTCCAGAGATCCGTTCCCAACTAGCCACAAAAGCGACTTCTTGCTGACAAAAAGCGACATGTTTTGGTTGTTTGCGTCTTCCTGAGTACAGGGTAAGGGCATACTGTGGATGGACGAAATTCCGCACCACCCAACAAACCCCGGAATTATGATTGCCCTGTAAATACCGGCAAACAGTGGTTTACCATTGTTTCAAAGTGGAGGAATTCGTCCATCAGCAGAACCTGGAGCCCTTCTGCCACATGCGCCGCGCCGGGAACCCCACAGCGCCGTCGGCATCCACCTCGATGAGGCACACCTTAGGCTCCATGAGGGGAGAAAGCAACATGGGCGGCACGTCAAGCTGAGAGTTGCTCCTGGAGCCTGGGTGAAATACACATACAATATGATGCATACATATAAATATATATATATATATATATATGTATACTACATACGTGTATATATATAGATATACAGACATATACCAATACACATATATAGAAGATGTATATACGTACTACGCACATATATGCATATGAAGTTCCGTCAAAAATTGCTGTTCACTGTATGTTCACAGTAAGTATGTTCGATTTTAGAGAGTCCCCTATCGTTTTCCAGTGTTTTGTCTATAACACAAATTGTATCGTTTTTTGAGTCCCCTATCGTTTTCCAAGCACCTTGAGCTATATGGATGTCCAAGTGTACACTACTTTCCTTTTCCGTAAATTCTGACCGTGCTTCATATGTGTGTACATTTTTCAAGTATCACGTATGATGCTGCCTTTGTGTTTTGCCTTCAGCTTCACCCGGCCACGCAAATCCGGACACCTGTAGCTCAAGGTTGGCAGACTCTGAAGCCACCAGCCCATCACAATAGGCTGACCCTAACGCCTTTCTTGTCCTCGGCAAGGCTGAGTGAAACAAAATACCGTTCATTGTCTTCGGCTTGTCAGTGCAGGAATCATGGCCCACTGCAAACGTACTACGTTCAGAATTGAATTGTATCGCCGCAGGTGTCAACACTCTTCACCAAATGTGCTAACACAAGGCAGTTCTTGCAATGTAAACAGTCTAGGCAGCCTGTCTTGAGCTGGATTGTGAGTGTTCCTCTGGTTTCAAGCAGGGCTTGTTTGCTTTTCACTTTTGACCATGAAACTTTTTTTGCAGTTGCCGACGCATGCTCCTTCTACAATGCAGAAGGAGCAGCTCTTTGGCATGCCAGTTGACATTCTTCGGGCGACTTGCCGGGCCTATGAGGTAGAATTGCAGGGGCCAAGCTGCAAATGAACGGCTTCAAAGGAGTACGGTGTTTCCTTGGTTGCTGTTGAGCCCTCTGCAAAAAGTGTTTAACTTTTTGTGGGTTTCGTGGAAGCCCATGATTTCCGAACAGGTTAAAGTCTAAACCCAGGCAGTCAACGGACCTTCCTGAGGAGGCCCTCTAAAGGGATCTCCCAGGAAGGTATTTTGGAATCAGGAGGATCATGCGGCATCACGGGCTGCTTTTGCTCAAATCTAGGGGTGGCCATGTGTGCTCTTAGGGCACTTCTGAGAAGGCGTCTGGCCCTTGGCTCTTGTGGTTGTTTTTTGAGGCTGCTGGAATTCGATTGACTCGAGGTTATGCCAAATCGGCTGTTTGTGGAGGTCCGCCCACCCGCCAACTTTACAGTCATAGCGGCATGCATTGAGAAATTGAATGCTGTTTTTGGGGTGCCCCCAGCAAAAAGCACAACTGCATGCAGATCTGCTTGCTCTTTTTTGCACCCCTAGCACATGCATGGGATCCAATACTTATTTTGCGGGGGCTCCCTCAAAAACATTGATTGGCACCGCCATATTACACAGGCTCAGGGATCCCAGCACCGGTTTGCCGCTCTTTTTGTTTCTGGCCAATGCCGTCTGTGCCCGATCTGCAGAAGGTGGCAGTCCTGCAGGCTAGGGCCGTGGGGAGATTTCATTCAAGATAAGGGGGGAAAGGGGGGGGGGGCAGATTGTTTGAGGAGCTCTACTTGGAGATCTTGAACAACCAGGAACACGTGGTCGAAAGGTTTAAAGACTTATGCAAGAAGATGGCCATCCCCAAAGACAAGTTTGAAAAAAGGATCGCTGCTGGTCAGGCGGGCGGGTTGGGGGGCAAGTTGCATACAGTACAATGCCACTAGGAGGGGTTTCGAAAAATGGCTGTGGCTTACAACAGGGAGCATTGTTTTGGGTTGGTGATAAAGGAGGCCTATCATGATTGCAAAGGGGCTGCTTGTTTTGAGAGATATCGGCACCCATGTTTTGGCAGGCCCCATGCGCCTTCTCTTTTGTGAACATCCCCAAAGACGGTATCAGCCCGGATACTGCCGCAAGCCCAGATCCCGGTATTCTTCCTACTTCATTTCTCCCATTCGCCCAGGTGGAGGATGACAACAACTTTGAGTTCTTGATGTCCTATTTGGCAAGCTTCGGCGGTTCCCCCGTGACAGCCTACGAGATGAAGGCAGGGCCGTCTCATCAAGCTCACAAACTCGTCATGTTTTCCTGGATGGCAGGCAGCCCTCTTTGAAGTGGCAAAGGCAAAGGGGATCTCCTTGGTACGTGCAAAAACCAAGCAGGAACTCAAGGCACGCCAAGGCACACAGCTTTGAGGCGAGCGCATGACCCTATGTGCCAGGACTGGGCAAAGGATGAGTCTGACCTGCAAATGGGGCTCATCCGCTACATAATGAAGCGGGCTCGAAGGAACCAAGGTGCCAGGCGCACGCTCTGTCTTGATCAAGTGTGGCGTGTGCGATAGTGCGCATGCATGCGTGTGTTTGTGTGTGTGTGTGTGTGTGTGCGACTAGTGTGTATATTGAAAAAGCAATGGAGGCGGGGGCACGCGAAAACGGAGGAGTTGAAGACTTTAATCCGGGCTATGCGACCAGGCACGGCTGGATGCAGGTGAGCTTCATGGGTGCATTTTTGCTCGCTGCCAGGAGAGAGTAGTGATTCTCTAGCGGAGGCGGGGGAGGGCGACGAGCAGGATGACACTCCGCAACAGGTGAGTGAGATCAACGCGGCTGCCAGCGATGCGGAGTCGGAGTATGCGGAGACGTTGCAGTGCTCGTGGGGCGAAGGGTCGACTGCCCCCTTGAGTGGAAGCGAGGATGGCCTTGGCAAAGCATTGGAAGAATCAGCTGAACAGAGCGAGCAGGCAAAGGGCCCTGCCAAGGAGCTACTGGTGGAGGCGAGCGGTGAGGTCGCCAAGGAGAGCTTGCGGTGGAGGCGAGCGGTGAGGTTGCCAAGGAGCTTCCGGTGGAGGCAAGCAGTGAGGTCGCCAAGGAGCTTCTGGAGCCGAGCGGTGAGGTCGCCAAGGAGCTTCCGGTGGAGGCGAGCGGTGAGGTCGTTAAGGAGCTTCCGGTGGAGGCAAGCGGTGAGGTCGCCAAGGAGCTTCCGGTGGAGGCGAGCAGGGAGGAGAAGGACCACGCGGCTAAGGCGGCAGGGGTGGAGGGGAATGAGAAGGGCAAGGACCAGTTGGTTGAGCATGAGGACCAGGTGCTGGAGAAGGAATCGGCCTTCATTCAGATCCCGGTGGAGGATAAGAAGGATGCGTCTGTGAAGGCGGACCTGGACCTGGAAGACAGCCAGCTGCCTTGGCAAGAGAGTACTCCGCCCAAGCATGTCATGGCAGAGATGGAGAAGTGTGAGGAGCAGCCGGACCTGGCCTCTGATGAGGAGGTTTTGAAGAAGCGCCAAGGTTTTAAGGCAAGGCAAGCAGTTTTAGATTCAAAAAAAAGTAAACAAGCATCGCAGGACCGAGAGCCGCTGTTTCCCCTTCCTGAGCTTCCAGACCTGGTGAAGCGCCACCTGGACGAGCGCTTTCCTGACTTGCTCAAGGAAGTACCGGACGACGTGGCCAGCAAAACTGTTAGCCGCTTCGTTCTGGAGGCCTGGGGGCGGGATTGGGGAGACGTGAGCCGAGCCGTGTAGTTCGTGCCAGTTGCAGCAGCAGACCCGGAAATCCATCAATGACGCTATCAAAGAAGGACAGCGCGACGTGGACGCAAAGGCAAAGGCAAAGGCCAAGACGGCTCGAGGCAGGGGAAGGGGGCGCGGACGAGGGCGTGGCGCAAAGACTACGCAGGCAGGACCGATGGCACGTTTTTTTTTTTGCATGATATGAGTCGACCAGATTGCTTCTGACATTCTAGGTGGCCCCAGAAGAGGAAGACGAACCTGATACTGGCGTCAAGGCTCGAACAAACATCCCCCCTACCTTTCAGACGTTAGCGGGTAGAATGCCAATCCTGGCAGGTACCGGAGAGCGATGATGACCTGATGGGGCAGGACGAGATGCCGGACGGGACGCAGGCATGCATGAGCTTGTTTCCAAAATTTCTCGGAGTGCCTAGCTGGACCAGGTCGCAGCTGGGCCAGGCCACCCCATTACGGACAAGTCGGGCAGCAGCAAGGAGGGACAGGCGTGTATCGTGGGCATGCAGGTGTGTGCATTACACTTCTGTAGCGCACGACAGGCTGCAAAGAAAAGAGGGCGTGAGGCAGTTCCTAAGAACGACAAGGCATAAGTGGTCCGCTGTTCGCTACATGACACTAGTTGCCTCGTGTTTTTGCAGGCGCCAGCCAAGAAGAAGGCACGCGCTGCCGCTGCGAAGGATAAGGCGGAAAGCAAGGCAGCGATTGGTGTGAGTGTGTGTGTGTGTTTGCGCGTGTGTGGTGTGTGTGTGTGTGTCATTGTGCGTGTGAATGTGTGTGTGGGTGGGTGGGTGGGGGTGGGTGGTGGTGGGTGGGTGGGTGGGTGGGTGGGTGGGTGGGTGGGTGGGTGGGTGGTGGGGGTGGGTGGGTGGGTGGGGGTGGGGGTGGGTGGGTGGGTGGGTGGGTGGGTGGGTGGGTGGGTGGGTGTGTGTGTGTGTGTGTGTGTGTTTGCATGTGTGTTGTGTATTTGCATGTTGGTGTCATGTGCGTGGTGCATGCATCATAATCTGGTAAATGCGGAGGTGCCCAAAGCAAAGGGAAACCCGGAGAAAATGGAGAAGCTGGCGGGGAAGGCCCAGACCCATATGTTTTTGCCACTGATTCCTTTTTGTTGCGCTAGGAGGGGTCCGAACTTCCTGCAGTTCACATGGGGCGGCTAAAGCTACTTCAGCTGATGACCAAGAAGGCCCCGGAATTCATGGTGCCTGATGACCTTGATGGCCGGTCGCCCTGCCCTTAGATTCATGCATATCTTAAAACGCTCGAGTACTCTATTTTGATTTCCCAATTGCCACAGGTCGTGGACGATCCCACCACCACCAGAGGTCCTCAGAGTTGCACCGGATGCATCGGCCATCG